TCCCTACACTTTCTGACCTCTAAGAGGCTGATCCTACCCATCTTCCATTCCTGTTTGAGATGATTGGTCATCCATCTTGGCCTGTAACCCTCCCTCACCTTTGATTTTCCCCCCCTTGCTTAGGATGCAGACTTAGGATAGTTTCTGCCATTAATTCCAAGTCCCCTCCACATTCAGATCATTGAGTTCTTCAGTCTGGTCCAACTCCATATTAATTCTTTTAATCTTCTTAAAGAGTGTCCTTTTAATATCAACAAGTATACTTGCAGATCTGTTTCTGTTTATTTTCACATGTACAGGATTAAGCCTTTACGCTGTAAAACTGTTCAGGACTGGGATAATGTCTTTTTCCATGGTTTGTGCATCAGTCTGCAGTCGTTGGTGCTAAATAAATAAAATCACGTGCCAGACAAAACCAAGAAAAGCTAACCACAGTTCTGTGATTTTGGAAACTACCTCACCTCCTGTTTTTTCTCCTAGGGTATGTATACACTTGCAGCCTAATTCGAACTAGGGTTGCAAATGTAGGCATTCGGAATTGCCGGGCACAATTTTTGAAATTTACAAGCCCAAAGTAACTGCCTGCATCTACACGCAGCAGTGAAACGGGCATTTGAAATAAAGCCCTAGTTCGAACTACCTGTTATTCCTTCTGCAATGGCGCCCAGCCGGGAAGATGCAAATCAAGCGCGGGATATTTAAATCCCGGGCTTGATTTGCAATTCCGAATGCCTACATTTGCAGCCCTAGTTCGAATTAGGCTGCAAGTGTAGACATACCTCTGTATATTTTATCTTTGTGACCTGTATTCTAGGTTTAAGTGTTGAAATGTAATATAAAAAATGGGGTTAGTCAGCAAAACTGTTACTAAAAAGAACGCATGTAAAGTTAAAGCAAGTTAATAAACAAGCATTGAAAGGGTGCAAGGGATTTCCTAACAACATTAGGTGGTATTATTAATAGTAATAAATTATAATATTATTTTATTTGTATTTTTGTAGAATCTAAGTGCACCAGACATGGACAACGCTTCGATGTACTAGGCGTGCGGTGCCATCACAAAACAAAAAGAGCTACTGTCTGAAAGAGTTTACAGTATAAGATATAATAGATACAAAGGGGGCAGAACAGGAAAATGTAAGGAAGCAATCAGATGTTAGTAGTCAACAAGACAAAAGCACTCAACATTGAAGTCAATGGCCAGTGTCTTGATTTGGGGGCAGAAGTTGTCCAACAGCTAGGGCTTCTGAAACTCTCACCCTAATTACAGTTAATATAATTTTAGGCCTCTTTCTGTTTTGTACACATACTTACAGGGCCAGATTAACTCTTCTGGGGTCCCCAAAGCTCCAAGGTGGGGACCCAAAATGAGGAATTTGGTGTGCAGGAGACGGCTGCAGGTAGATACAGGAGGATGAGTGCAGGAGGAGATGAGGTCTCCAACTGGGGGTGGATCTGGGGATGAGGTTTTTGGGATGTAAGAGGGGGCTCCAGGCTGGGGGTCAAGGGAGTAGACTCAGGGCAGGAGATTGGAGTGGGGATGTCACATAACGGACTACCAGTGTATGCATTTCACTGGGTTTATTCCCTCTGTGCAATACCCCTACACCCGAATGAGTCGACGCCTGCCCCAGTCCGAACGGGCCTGTCAATAGTTCCCTTAACCCGTCCCAAGTTCGAAAGTACTGTCCACTGCACGCGCCATAAGGGTCACAGTTTAGGTTAATGTCGGACAACGCGGTGGAAGGAATACTTGAGGATGGCAGGGTAGGGAAACCCGGGCCCTCTCTGACTCCCAGGTCCCAACCCAGGGCCCTAAGGCAGAGATAAAAATCTCCCCTGCCTGGCTGACGGGGGTGTCGCCCCTAAACACGCCAGCCCATGGGCTTCATGACCCCGCCCTGGGCCACTGCCTACCCGCCTCCTACGTTTAACGTACCTCCGTCCACTTCCTTTTCTGTCCCCCTTCACTATGCCACACCTCCGCTTTCCTCTCTGGTCAGGGCTCACTTCCCCTTTCCATCTTGATGCCCTCTGCCTTTTAAACTCCCCGCCATCTGGCGTCTGCCAACAATGGAGTTCTGGCGAATCAGCTGTTCTGCCCCTGCTGGGCCAGCAGGTGACATCATCCCCCCCGTGGCTGTCCTCACAGCTCTGGCGCAATGTTAGCCGTAGTGCAGGGCATGGCCCACATGCCCCGCCATGCTGGTGGGGGACGTCATCCCCCCGTGTTGGCCCCGAACAGGTGCCGCATCTTCACCGCCTCTCCCGCAGCTGTCCCCACAGTGCTGGCAGGAGTGCAGGGCGCAGCTGCCCCGTCACAGGGGGTGCGAGGTTTGGGTGAGACTTAAAGTTCAGGAGCAGAATCAGGGTTGGGGTGCAAGATCTGGGAGGGAGTTAGGGTGCTAGTCTTTAAGGTATCACAGGACTCCTTGTTGTTTTTGCAGATACAGTACACATTAACTCCTAAACAGTAAAAACTAGAACCACCAAATTCAGGATATAGCTTTGTGATATCTTAACTTAAAACAAGGGTTTAGTTGTGCCAGAAAAATAGAATATGCCTGGCATGGGATTGCGTCTCATAAAACCATACAGAAAAGATGAAAGAGGCTGGCTGGGGGCATGTCCCCAAGCTTCCCACTTTCTGAGGCACCCTGAAGCTTCCCCCCCGCCCAGTTCATACAGGACTATTGCTGGCTATTTCCCTTCATCAGGGAGTGAAGAAAAAGTGCAAAAATTGCTGCATTCCTCACCTTCGCTGGGAAGGACAGGGGGCTGATAAACCTGCCCTAATGGGTGACATACACCCATCCCACAGCTATGCCCACTGAAGCTTTAGCAGGCATGCAGAGGCACTTAATATGGCGATCAGCTAAACCCTGAGCATGTGGGCAAGACTCACCAGCCAGACACCCAGAAAGTTCCCTATAGCAACTCCTATCATCCCTCCATTGACCTATTTCCAACTGGAAATGAATGGTCAATTAGTTACCAAGATCATGTTATTTCATCCAACCATCCCCTTATCATAGAATCAGAACTGGAAGAGACCTCAGAAGGTCGTCAAGTCCAGCCCTCCGCTCTAGGCAGGACCAATCCCATCTAAATCAACCCGGCCAGGGCTTTGTCAAGCCGAGACTTAAACACCTCTAGGGATGGAGACTCCACTACTTCCCTAGGTAACCCATTCCAATGCTTCACTACCCTCCTAGTAAAATAGTTTTTCCTAATATCCAATCTGGACCTCTCCCACCACAACTTGAGACCATTGCTCCTTGTTCTGCCATCTGTCACTACTGAGAACAGCCTCTCTCCATCCTCTTTGGAACCTCCCTTCAGGAAGTTGAAGGCTGCTATCAAGTCCCCCCTCACTCTTCGCTTCTGCAGACTAAACAGACCCAAGTCCCTCAGCCTCTCCTCGTAGGTCATATGCTCCAGACCCCTAATCATTTTGGTTGCCCTCCGCTGGACCCTCTCCAATGCGTCCGCATCCTTTTTGTAGTGGGGGGCCCAGAACTGGACACAGTACTCCAGATGTGGCCTCACCAAAGCCGAATAAAGGGGAATAATGACATCTCTGGATCTGCTGGCAATGCTCCTCTTAATGCATCCTAATATGCCATTAGCCTTCTTGGCTACAAGGGCACACTGTTGACTCATATCTAGCTTCTCATCCACTGTAACCCCCAGGTCCTTTTCTGCAGAACTACTACTTAACTGGTTGGTCCCCAGCCTGTAACTATGCTTGGGATTCTTCCGTCCCAAGTGCAGGACTCTACACTTGTCTTTGTTGAATCTCATGAGATTTCTAGTGGCCCAATCCTCCAATTTGTCTAAGTCACTCTGGACCCTATCTCTGCCCTTAAGCGTATCTACCTCTCCCCCTAGCTTAGTGTCATCTGCAAACTTGCTGAGGGTGCAATCTATCCCCTCATCCAGGTCATTAATAAAGATATTGAACAAAACCGGTCCTAGAACCGAACCTTGGGGCACTCCACTAGAAACCGACCTCCATCCTGACATCGAACCGTTGATCACTACCCGCTGGGCCCGGCCTTCTAGCCATCTTTCTATCCATCTTACCGTCCATTTATCCAATCCGCATTCCCTTAACTTGCTGGCAAGAATATTGTGGGAGACCGTATCAAAAGCCTTGCTAAAGTCAAGGTATATAACATCCACTGACTTTCCCATGTCCACTGAGCCAGTTACCTCATCATAGAAGCTAATCAGATTGGTCAAGCACGACTTGCCCTTTGTGAATCCATGCTGACTATTCCTGATCACTTTCCTCTCATTCAAGTGTCTCAAAATGGATTCCTTTAGGATCCCTTCCATGATTTTTCCAGGAACCGAGGTAAGACTGACCGGCCTATAGTTCCCTGGATCGTCCTTCTTCCCTTTTTTGAAGATGGGCACTACATTTGCCTTTTTCCAATCATCCGGGATTTCGCCCGATCTCCACGACTTTTCAAAGATAATGGCCAAAGGCTCCTCAATGACATTTGCCAACTCCTTCAGTACCCTTGGGTGCATTAAGTCTGGACCCATGGATTTGTGTACGTTTAGTTTTTCTAAATAGTTCCTAACCTGTTCTTTACCCACCAAGGGCTGTCCATCTTCTTCCCATCTTGCGTCGCTTAGCACAGAAGTCCAGGAGCCGACCTTGTCCGTGAATACAGAGGCAAAGAAAGCATTGAGTACTTCAGCTTTCCCCACATCCTCTGTCACTAGGTTACCTCCTTCATCCATTAGGGACTGCACACCCTCTCTGATCACCTTCTTTTTGTTGACATGCCTGTAGAAACCTTTCTTGTTATCCTTCACATCCTTAGCCAGTCGCAACTCCATTTGCGCTTTCGCCTTCCTGATAACCCCCCGGCATTCTCGAACTATACATTTAAGCTCCTCCCTAGTCATTTGTCCAAGTTTCCACTTTCTGTAAGCTTCCTTTTTGTGCTTAAGTTCACCAAGGATTTCCCCTGTAAGCCAATCCGGTCTCCTACCAGGTTTGCCTCTCTTGCTACGTGTCGGGATGGTTTCTTTCTGTGCCTTCAATAAGGCTTCTTTAAAATACTGCCAGCTGTCCTGGACTCCTTTCCCCTTCATGTTAACATCCCAGGGGATTCTGCCCATCAGATCTCGGAGGGAGTCAAAATCTGCTTTTTTGAAGTCCAAGGTGTGTATTTTACTACTCTCTTTTCTTCCTTTGGTCAGGATCCTGAAATCTACCATCTCATGATCACTGCTTCCCAGGTTGTCACCCACCTCAACTTCCCCTATTAGTTCCTCCCTGTTTGTGAGCAGAAGGTCAAGCTGCGTATGGCCCCTGGTCGGATCCTTGAGCACTTGTGTCAAGAAGTTATCCCCAACATTCTCCAAAAACTTCCTGGATTGCCTGTGTACTGCCGTATTGGTTTCCTAATAGATGTTAGGGTGATTAAAGTCCCCCATGAGAACCAGGGCCTGCGATCCAGAAGCTTCTCTCAGTTGTCCGAAGAAAGCCTCATCTACCTCATCCACCTGATTCGGTGGCCTGTAGCAGACACCAACCACAACATCACTGCTATTGTTAGCTCCTTTAAACTTAACCCATTGACTCTCAACAGGTTTTTCTCCTTCTTTATACTGGAGATCAGAGCAATCTTAGTGCTCTCTTACATATAGTGCAACTCCTTCTCCTTTTCTCCCCTGCCTGTTCTTCCTGAACAGTCTGTACCCTTCCATGGCAGCGCTCCAGTCATGCGAGTCATCCCACTAAGTCTCTGTTATCCCAATTAAATCATATTTCTTGGACTGGGACAGGGCCTCCAGTTCTTCCTGTTTGTTGCCAAGCTACTGTGGTGAGAGAGGGTTGGGATAGTCCTATCTCACCGGTGCAGTCTGCATACTCACCCCAGTCTCACCCCAGAGCAATGGTTTAAATGAAGCATGTAAATTTCCATTTTATTTTCCAAAAAAGAAAAATTGAGTGAAGGACCCGAGCAACACCAAGTCAATCTTCTAGTTAACTGATATAAGCATGTGAGTGTT